TTTACATGTTGCCTCTCAGTGTACCCTGCTTTTTTGGTTACTTAGTGAGGGTTTCAAATAGCCATTTTATGTTCTGTTTAGTCCAGTTTAGAAATAATGGATGATTTATGTGGTGAATCTTAACTGTTTATTGTGCCATGCTATGCTTATTTTTGAGTTTAACATGATTTTTCATAGAGAAGATACAGTCTTTTTTATTTTTTATTTTTACATTTTTTTTTATTTTATTTATTTTTTCAGTAACAAAAGCAAATTTCCAAATGTGTGCTTTTCAGTAGAGAATACCTATACATTTTTTTTAGCTGACAATGCTGCTTTAGCTTCTTGTTCATTTGAAATCCCTGCCAAACAGTCTGCTGATTGTCAGTGAAATGAAGTGTAAGATTCTAATCAATGCATGACATGGTGTTTATCAAGCGGTAAGTACTGATCTTTTGGTTTTTCAAGTGAAGTGGAATACCTGAAACATTGAAATTTATTCTTTCCATGTCTCTGAGAAGGCCTGGTGGCGTTGGTCTGGAGACGCAAGCCATCTCCAACAACTCCCTCACCAGCAACAACACCTCCTCCACCATCACCACCACCATGTCCTCCTCCTCCAACAACACCACCATCACATCCTCCACTCACCCTCCATTTGACCCCAGCGCCGCCTCCGAGTCGGAGTGCAGCGAGCACCCGGCTGATGGCTCCTCCAGCCGCCACCACATGGAGCGCAAGAAGATTCGCAAGAAGAAGACACTCGACCGCTTCCCCAAACTAACTGTCCTGAGCGTGACGGAAACCATGGTCGAGTGTCAGCTAGAGACTATAAAGCAGAAGACCATCACCTTCAAGTTTGACATAACTGATAATGACCCTCAAGATGTAGCCAACAAACTGGTAATTTTTTTTGCTCTCTCTCTCTCTTTATTTTTATATATTGCATAAATTAAAGGTTTACTGTTTTTTTCCAATTTTTCTTGCAAACAATTATAGTGTTTATTATTTACCTTTGCTGTTCCCTCACTGTTATGCTCTATCATATTTCAGGTAATGACTAATCTCCTACCTGTAAACCATGCTGAAGTTGTGATCAATTACATAGAAGACATCATCAGACAGCTTCAGGCCAACCCCAATGTTCTCCCAGTCGTGTCCACTCCAGGGCTCGACTCCAGAAGTCAGCATCACTCACAGGATGGCCACACACGCTCCCCCTCGGCCTCTCGACGCCACAGGGACGATCCTGAAGCACGGGTCAGTATTCTTAAAATCTTTTTGATTCAGTTTTACTTGGAGGGATTTTTGTTTTGGTAATAATTATGTGCTTGCCAGAGTTTATGTCATATATGTATATTGGCTAGTGGTTATTAGCTTTCAGGTGTCGGTCAAGAAAAGTCAGATGATATTATCTTCCTGTACTTGTTACATTAATTACTCGAATCCTCCTTTGACATTGTTTAGGGGAACATGTGATTATGTCACTTAACTTTTCTGAGGCTTTATGTTGTATAGCTGTCATGATTTTATTAACACTTTGTTTTGTCAGAAGAGGTGTGCACAAAAATTTGTAGCAGTTTTTACATATTGTGTCAGTATGAAAGGAAAACTGGTTTTGAATCTAAGATTTTACTAATCAATTTAATGTCCATTGCTAAGAAATGTTACCAGTTGATTATTAGATATTATTATTAGATAGACATTGAAGAGAGGGAATTACTATGATTGATGGATGTTTTGAACCGGTAAATTACTAGAAGTTGGACTTGTGCTGTAGATTTAGTCTTATGTACTGGATATGATTTATAGATAGGAGAAAGAAAGAATATCGAGTTTGAGTGAATGAAAAAGATATGCTTGAGAGACAGAATACAGACTTTTATATTTAGGATAAATTGGTGGAAAAAAAGACAGTATAGATGAGGCATAGATATAGAAACAAATGTGTACAGTGGTGTATTTATCCTAAGGAGTAGATTGACGCAGAAACGAGTATGAAGTTTTGATAACTACTAGTTGGCAAGAAATTAATGAAGTTTGAAGACACTGAACTGTTTTAATTTTTTCTCAATCGATATCATTCTCCTTGACCTAGTTTTAACAGGAAAACTTTATTAATGCCTTTTATCATGTGCTTGCATATATCCAGTAATTTGTGAGCACATAGCCAGTAAAGAGGAAATCACTTTTCACTTATATTCATTGTAAATTTACCCAGTATTTTACCTTTTAGTATCAGCTTTCCCTGTAGTGTACATATATATATATATATATATATATATATATATATATATATATATATATATATATATATATATATATATATATATATATATATATATATGTATATAATATGTATATATGTATGTATATATATGTATATATATATGTATATATATATATATATATATGTATATTATATATATATATATATGTATATATATTATATATATATATATATATATTATATATTATATATATATATATATATATATATATATATATATATGTATATATATATGTATATATATATGTATATATATTTATATATATATATTATAATATATTATATATATATATATATATATATAATATATATATAATATATATATATATATATATATATATATGTATATGTATATATTTGCTTAATTATTTATTCATTTATGAAAAAGTTCATTAATCAGTGCTTTCATTTTTTAAGAGAAAGCAAGTATAAGAGATTAAGTAGAAAATTTGGTTATCCTAACGAAAAAAGTCTTGCAAAACATTTGACTAGTTTGATGAAACAAGGGGATTGTATGGCATTACAAATATACAATCTATAAATAAAGTACTGAAAAGGAAGGAAAGTGTTGATGATTTTACATGTCCCCCAAGTTTTGAATTTGCTTATGGATCAGTATTTATTTTTGCTGTTATCTGATGTTCTTGTTTCATTAGATCATAATTTTTTTATATAGTTTTGCTGATGTGTCATTGTTTGCATCATCCATTAAAGACAACTGATTGCCACCAAGGTTTTAGAGGATATATCTGACAAGAGGGTTATTATGAAGTCCATAGGTGATCATCTTTAGCATTTTGAAAACAATGTATGAAATGTGTTAGAGTGTATTGAAGTGAAGAGATGCTGATCTGAATTAAGATAATGCACAGGAAATGCAAACCCATTGTTACTTGTTGTCGTTTAGTTATTTAATCATGTACGTATTATCCGAAGGTAACTGTTTTATTTGTGAATAGTCAAGGTTCTGCATTTTTTCTTATGCATCTATTATGTCCTGTTGCAATATTTCTCAAAAGGAGAAATCTTTGTACAGCTGCTGCCAGTCTTCTCAGCTACATATGAGTTTCTGACTCTGGTGAGAGATTAGTCATTTTCTGTATCTGCAATGTAAAAGCAAATAACAACATACTGATACTTAACTCAAAACCTTGGCAATTGAATTTTCTAGCTTACCCTCCCAAGTGTAGCTTTACAGGTGATGGCAAGGGACTGCTAACCCTATCACATGGATCAAAAACTTTTGTAGTAATACCACTTTGTTTCACTTTCACATTACTTGTCATGTGGTAGTATTATGTAGTATACTTGATGTAAAAAGAAGTTTTCCTTTAGGTTGTAGGTTGCAGCTACATGCTTTCAATTGCATGATGTATGTTGCAGTTATTAGGTGTTGGTGAAGTTGCCAAAAGGTTCATGCTTTTCTCTTCAAGAGAATTTGTTAGTAAGAAAGAAGGATATAAAACATATGATGAATATGTTAAAACTGAACATATTCAAATAAACATGTGCATTATTGGAAGATAGCATTATGAAAACAGCTCGAAATAGAAACCATGTTAAAAATGTCTCAACCTTTAGTGCTTCATACAGTTCTTGATGTTCATCCCCTTGAAAGGAAATTAAGGGAAGAAAGACTTGTTCTAAAACTGTGAGGCAAGAAGGCATAATTCTGAGATGGATATGAATGAAGTAATGCTTCCTCTTTTTTTAATGTGTAGAAAAATAGAATGGAAAGATAGCTTTACATATTATTGTTTGTTTGCTTGTTTAAAAGGAGAAATAGATTGTCATCTAGTGTTGTTTACAAGCTTTTTTTTTCATAATAGAACAACATTTGAATAATATATCTTTTGACAGAAAGGTCACAGGTCAAAAAATCAAATCTTTAATGTTCAGTGTTCTGCTTCTGGTATTTTAATTTATTTGTAAAAGGTATAGCTTTTATTATATTGATTGTGTGAAAGTGGGTTAGCATTTGAAAATTTTTCTAATTTTGGTTTTGATTGTTTTTGTGATTTCAGGCAGGTAAAGAACAAAAAAGTATTGATTATAAAACTTTATTTTTTATGATAATAATTACATCATATTTCCTTTAAAAGTTTATATGATTTCCATTTATGATTTATTATGGCATGCATTAGTAGCCCCCCCTTGACTCTGGGTGGCGGCCGTTTCTCTAGAGGATTGCTTGAGGTCGCGAAAGACCCTTTGGCTGTATGGTTGTTGTGGCTCATATCAGTGGTTTGTATCATTTATTTTGTGCGGCGTGATAGGCTCGCTACCTGGCCAGGAAGCTGAGTCGGTCCTCCCCTAAACGGCGACGACGACACAGCTCAGTAAGTAACTGTTGGAAGAAACGACTGGATTTGTGTCAGCAAACTGAGAATGCTATCTAGATATTTACTGAAGAGCATGACTGGTGGCTATAGTGACATCTCTGTTGGCCAGACGGATGCCCTGCCCCCTTGGTTGGTCACACGCGGTGCGGTGCTCTCATCACACAGTTCCAGCTTATGCTTGAGGGCTGTGCGTAGATGACCCTCACCTCGTGTGGCCTCAACTGCTGGGGTCTGCAGGCCAACGCGAGACGATTAATCACCCAAGACTAAGCTGGTCAAGAGTGCTCGTGTGCTTCCTTGCCTCACTCCTCACGTCTCCTTTAACACTTATTGCACTCACTGTAGCTTCCCATAAATAGCTGTTAGGATTTGCCTTTAAAGATGGATGAAAGGATTTTAGTGTTCCAGTAGTTATGCCTAAACAGAGAGCATTCAGACTGATGATCGAAACCAAAGAACACAGTTGCCAAAAGTTATGTGATTATTGTTTTCTTTTTTCTTAATGACAGCTGTTGTAATCTGTTTTTCATTTCATTATGTTCTTATGTCTAGGACTAGTATCGTAATTGATGTGAGGATGGATAATAAGGGGATTAAATATTATTTATATACTTGAAGTCTTTATGTTTAGTTGAAGAAAACTTCATATCATAAAAACTTTCATTATCTTGAAATCCCCATATAGCTATACATATTCTTTCTCTATCTCTTTCTCTGTATATTTCCTTTTCTTCTTTGTTTTCTTTACACACATACCTCCTCCACACACCTTTAGTTGTTTCTTACCCAGGCCTTCCCCAATATAAGCAAAACAATCTGCATCTTGTATCACCATGATCCACTTTGGTGTGATAGTGTTTATGATTTACACCCATATGTGTTATTTCCTAACATATATAGCACCTTTTTATTCCTCTGATTTTTATGTTTGCCTTTCCCTCTCTAAAAGTGTTAGATTTCCACTAGGAAGGTGAAAAAGCCTCCATTGAAATTATGATTCCGTTGTGTGTGGATTATTATAACTATTGTGTTTAGTGTGAGATTTAAAACACATTGAAGGCATTTCTAATTTCTTTGCATGTTCAGTACCAGATAAGATTAAACATACAATATATGTATTACACCTATATCTTTTTGTGTGTCTGGTGCTTACTTGTGTGTGTGTGTGTTTGTGTGTGTGTGTGTGTTTGTGTTAATGTGTATTTGTTTCTACGTTGCCTTTTGGTATGTGTACACCAATATATATTTATATACTACCATAATTGTTTGTACAAGTAAGAAGAAAATTAACGGATAAATACTCTCCCGTGCATACATCAAATACTTCACACAACTGTTCTAGAATCAGGGGTCATCCAGCAGTCACTGTAGTAGATTAGAGACAAATGCAGAGCTAGCATTAATGTAGGATAAAGAATCTGTGAATGAATAAGCTCTCTGTGGCTGTCTGAAAAGTGAAATGCATCCAGTGTGTTATCCTTTTCATGCCTAGATAATTCAGGCACAACAGATGATGTAGGCTACATCAGTTTTGCATTTTAAAAAATGCATCTTCACTAGAAGATAGTGCATTTTGCAGTCAGTAAATAAATGATGGTTAGAGACGTTTAGAAGGGAGGAGAGAAAATGATGATTACATATTTTGCTGTAGCTTATTAGACATTCCAGTCTTGTTGGATGCTTTTTCCCCTTTTTTTTAGCTTTTTCACAAGAAATATATCAAAAGCACTTTTTAGATATTCAATAGTTTTATTCTAGCTCTACCATTATCATCATCACCATTGTATCATTGTCGTCTCCTTTGAAAAATGAGAGAAAACATATGAATAACATAAGCAGGTCTTTGTATCTCCTTTTTACCTTCTGTATTTGTACACAGGATGGCAGCATTTGCTGAGAAGATAGGCATAACAATTATTTAGGTAGAGGCTTCATTGAGAAACTCATACCTTTTTTATATCAGTGTAATGTGGTTTTGTAATTGTAAGTTTTGTCATAAAACATCATTGAAAAACAACCTAATATATGTTAAGTACACTTATTTGTATGTCTCGGATGATGATGGTAATGCATTGTATAAGCTCTGCTATTCTTATCTGTGTTAGTGAGGTGATATAGATACCATAGAAATACTGTAACCCATGTTTCTATTTGATATTTCAAAATTCTTTTGAAATGTGTGCTTCTGTTTAGTACCATTGTCAGCTCTGCAAAGTCATTCCCAGAACGATATTAATTAAATGTTAATAGAATGATGCTATGAAGAAGAAACAACTCCTAGTATGTCCAGTCAGCAGGATGCAACAGAGAAATTCAGTGGGAGTTCTGGTGTCAGTATGATAAGATTCATTAGTTCCTGGTGAAAAGGAAATTAATCTTAATTTCACTGTAGTATCTGCAAGTAGAGGATCTAAGTTTACTGTATGTATTGTGTGTCAAAAGGGGACTTGCTTTGAACAGATATTTAGTCTTTGTAGATGAAACCCTTATAACATAAGTCTTTAGAGTCTGTGTATACATACTGTTTACATGTTTTGTCAGGTGATTCTTTCCAGCTTGATATTTTTGATTTAGATAATCCTTTCATTATGTCACCAGAGTGTTAAGTTCGGAATTTCTACTGTCATGGTTTGTAACAAGTTGCAATAATTTAGCTCAATATATTGAAATTGTAGAAGTATGTTTTGACACCAGTTTTCTTTATTATTTTAATCAGTTGTTTAAGATTTCTTTTTCTTTTCTTTTAGTTCCTTAGGCTAAGTTGTACAGGAGAATTTTATATTGAATAGTTTAATTTTTAACTTCTATATTGAACTGTGTATCCCTTACAAAAAGAAGCACAGAATTGTATTATTTAAGTGAATGTTTGATGAAACAATAGTATTCAGATTTAACCCATGCAAAATATCTTTTTATCTGGAATGTAAATAGCAGTTGGTAAACTGACAACAAAATCATAGGGTAATTGGAAATAAATTTTTCATAAGTCCCATTTTTAATTTTGTACTATTGTATAGAAACTATTATTCCTTCTGCATCTATTCACATCCAGTCTAGTTCATTTCCATTTCTTTCACTGTTCCTTGCATGCAAATAAACCCCTTAAAGATGAATAGAATCAAAATAAGAACTGATTAAAAATTTAAAAATCCTAACTTGAATAAACCAAACTAAAGATACAAAGCTGCTGTGTGCTTGTATTAGATAAATAGTCTATACACATATATATATGCAATGTTAGATTGAATAAAATGGAGATTGCTTCAAGGATAATTGCAAGCTGATGGTAGCTTCAACCATTCTAAACATTTTCAAGAAATGCACTTTTTTAATATTAACCTTTGCTTTATTTTTTGGAGGATAGTGGTTGGTTCAATCCTTTTTTTTATTTATGTTATTTTATTTTATTCATTTTTTCTTTTTTTTCTATTTCTTTATACATTTATTTTTGTCTAAAATTATGTTTTTCTTGGGAATATAAAGGTTAAACAATGTTCTTGTATTCATGTAAATGCAAACTGTTACTGGCAGAGCTTTGCCATTGTTGCCTGTCTATAACTCCGTGTGTAATTTCTTTTGAGGGAAATGAATTACAATATATTTTATCACTGCCATGACAAGTACGTGGAGCCTGGCTTGACTTCCTTATGGTCTTCCGGAGCGCCCATCCTGCCTCTGCCACTCGCATTGGTACTATTCATGGTTTTGTTACTTAGCATTAGCATTTCCCTATACTTGGAGCTTCAGACTTTGAGACAGAATGCAACGTCAAGAAGAGATTTATATATATTATTTCTTCTTCTTTCTCTCTTCTCTCTCTCTCTCTCTACTACCACATCTACTTTTTTCACCATTTTTGATGTGAATGACAATTTGATAGCACATTTTTGTAGTGATGTTAGATTTTTTTTCTTCATTTTTTATCCATAATTTTTCTGTATTATTATTTTTATCCCTCTAGAGAGCACAGTCTATGCAATCCTAGGCTTATGCTATTATGGTTTATATTTCACACGTTTTATTATATTTCACAGATTTTACCTATAGCATAAAAACATTTGATTTTAATGATATCATAGGAAAAGTCTCATTCAATGCTTTTTTTTATTTAATTAATTATTTGTTAATAGTTTTCTCTTTTGTTTGGCTGGATTCTTTAGCGAGTAGACTATGGTTTTGCTGCCCAGTTTACCAATTTCTGAATATACTTTGCTTAAAATCATGTCATAATTCAGAAACTGAAGACATGTGATCGCATTATTTTCTATGTGAAGTAACTTTTTACTACTACTTGTAAGTTTTCATAAGTAAATATATATGAATCATGTTTGTGTCAGATTTCGATATATATATTTATATCCTTGGATTAAAGATGTAAAAAAAAAAAGTCAACCAAAAAAATCCAATGTATGTATTTATTTTGTAATTTTTTTATTCATTAGTAATCATGTTTTTATGTTACATTTGTCTTATATACAGTTATTTTATTTTATGATAAACTTCTGTCTGTTATTAATTTCCTTTGTTTATTTCTTGGATATTTTGCCCTTGCATATCATAGCATATCAGTGATAATTTTCAATGTATATTAATTCTTGATTTATTAATTTCATGTTAATGCCAAAATGATTTATTCAGTAAAATTGAAATGGCTACAAAGCTAATTGTGGGTGAATCAGGAGGGCAGCATTTGGAATTTGCAAAAAGCATTTTGCAAGGTTATTCAATTATATTCCATTTCTTATTTCTTTCTTTTCAAATCTTTTCTTGTGTTCTCTGTTTTCTGTTTTGATTGGCCGAATGGCAACCCTATGCACTTGCCATGCCTAACCGAGTGCTTTTGTACATCCACTACAGCACCGAGAGGAGGGAGGTGGGGACAGTGCCCCAGGAACCCCAAGCAAGCAGGTTGAAGGAAGGGAATCATCCCCTCAAGTGCAGACAAGCCCTGTGCGGCAGCCACAACCCACTCAGACACAACAGGAACAACAGCAGCAACAGCAGACTCAGCAGACTCCTCAGCAGCAGCAGGCAGTAGTTACTCCAGCCGCAGTGTGTGCTCCACAGCAGTCAGCCACTTCGACTCAGCCTGCACCACAGCAGCCACAGTGTGTGTGTGTGTGTGTGTGTGTGTGTGTGTGTGTGTGTGGTGTGTGTGTGTGTGTGTGTGTGTGTGTGTGTGTGTGTGTGTGTGTGTGTGTGTGTGTGTGTGTGTGTTGTGTGTGTGTCAGTGTGTGTCAGTGTTTGTGTCAGTGTGTGTTGTGTGTATGCTTGTGTATGCCTGTCCCAGTATCTGTGTCTGCCTGCCCGATTGTCAGTGTATATGTATTTGTATATATGTACATGTGCTTTATTTATGGTTGTGTATTTGTGCTGTTTTTGTGTATTATTTTCTTTGCATCTATATAGCTATTTTCCATTTTGTAGTTATACACTCGTATTTCTCTCTTGGTACTTGTTACACATGTTAGTTTTGGTTCCTGAAATTTTTGTGAGAAAATTTGTCAAATTATTCCAAACTATTCAAAGGCAATCCAGAAAAAAATGTTTATCCTTCATTTCTTAAAAATAACTTTAGTAGTTGAAAAATAACTTGAATTTTCTGATCATTTGAAAAAAATACTTAACCAATAAAAGAACTAAGGGCAGTATTCACGAAAGATCACAGGCTCAGAAATTTGTTCTTAGATTTGTCAAAGAAAGTTCTCAGACCTGTTGTGATTTCTACCCAAGTGTTGAATAAGAAAATTTATGAATATTATTTGACTTGGAATATTGCTGTTTGACAAGTTTTCGTATGCAAAGATTATTCTTATATACCTTCTTTCACATGCATGGTATAGACTTTACTTTAGTATAGTATACGATATATGTAGTATTATACATACAAAAGTGGTCAGCTCGGTGTGATGGAGAGCAGTAGTGTTTAGTAGTGAGTGGTAGTTGGAATATACGAGTTACAGTTGATGTTTGATATAAATAGACATTGCAGATTTAATTACTTACATCGCCTCGTCCTTATTGGTTGTATGTTATGATAGTGAATTGTCAGTGAGTCTGTGAGAAGGTGTTCATGTGTTTTGATCATTGTCAACCATTTATTGGTTTATTAGTAATATACCTTGAGTGAGTCGTGCCATCCAGTCATATATGAGAGTAAATCATCGAATTTTGTGACGCTGTTGCCAGCTTATATGTCTTATAAGGTATGTTTGAGTTGTTCATAGTCTCGTATGCGTTTATTCGTCATATTATTTTATGCTACAGCTCATTGACTTATTCATTTGACAATTCGTTTCTCTACTGACTTGTGTGTCTACTGAGAAAAGTAGGGCTGAGGTTTCTGCATTTAAAGCCTATCCTTGATTATATGTGGTATGTCCTTCATGTAGCGATAGTGTTTCTACATGTCGAGGTGAGAGTTTCAAATTGTTTTTGTGATTGAGAATGCTTTATATGAGACTATCACTTCCATTCGTTTTTATATACCAGGTTCCTATCAATCCATATAGTGGCAATGCTGCTAGCGAGCATATCTCAATAACATAAATCTAAGTTAACAATAACACGTGTTACATGCAACAACACCAACCTAATTAGGGTTGTCTCGATTGCATCTCTTGCGATTTAGGTTGCCAGCATTACCAACAAGATAAATAACCTTTCATCAATTAGTTGAGATAGATATGACACTGTATTATCTTAAGTAGGCATGACTATACTATAAAGTATATCAACGTAACCTACTGAACATCCTCTAACCTGTGTATAGCAGAGTGGCCATAATCTCGCAAAGAACAGCATGCAATGTCAGCGATCAGGAGTATCACATGTCACAGTGACATAAACAATCATGGCCTCCTAGGACGACATCAAAAGTGGTTGCTGTCAGCGTCACTCTACTCATCAGCTGAGAAGGATGCTGTAGAGATCTATCTTATCAAGGAGCTAATCCTACCTTGTGCATAACGTGATCCTTCTATATATTAAATGTCTGACATGATATATTGGCTTCTCGGTTACACAGTGCTTTCAGAAAACTCTCGGGTGGCCATGATGCGAGACATGTGTAGAAAACGAAGCAGACTTCATACCCAGAGATGATGACGATAGATTCAGGTAGCGAGGCGTCTGTAGAGGAGGTCAGTGAGCGTACTTAACATGGCCAGCGCTGACCGCCTACTCCCTACTCTCACGCCATACGAGCTACTGAGAGCTCCGCCACTATCAGCGCTTCTTGCCCTGAGGCTCCTCAATTTCCTAGCCCTACATCTTGCATAGAGCTGAGCTCAGCTGTGCTTAACACCTGCAGACCTCTGCTGCACATCTGTTGTTACTCGCCATCAACGCAGCTATCCGAACACGGTAGAGAGCTCTCTGTGTGACAAGATAACACTTGATTAACACCCTAGAGAATTGGGATTCTCTTCATTATGTAAGATGCATAGTGTAGGCTGAGCCTCTATAGGTGTAAGATATAGCTACAGTCTTATTGTTGCTCCACCTGGTGTGAGTTAGACATGATTAGATGTCTCCGGCTCTTAATATACACCGTGCTTAGTTCCACTATAGAGACACTGAGTTTGCAGAAAGACAGGTTCGTGTTGAGCGCTTCGATTTACACCACTTATTTATGCACAAATATATGTTTAATGCATCCTGAGAAATTATTGTATGCCACTCAATCAGACTGAACAAATCTAATTTCTGCCCTAAGTCATTTCATCACCTCAACCATGCTTTGATCCACAATATTCCACTGTAAAAGATGAGAGATTATGTTATAATTACTGAGCAACCAATACCGCCAAATTGCCTTAAGACAACACCATGATATAAAGAATGTGCTCTAACAACATGATCATCGCGTGTCCAAACAATGAATGTTTAGACCGAGTCATTAACCAGGATATCTGAGTTAATTAAAATCGTACAGTATTACATACAATTAAATACAAATACGTCAATGCCTATAGAGAAGCTACCAAGAGATACAGAGACCTTTTTCAATCAAGGATAACAACTGTTCCATCAAACCAGCTGATATTCCAGCTGAGCGGAATCTATTTGATCTGAAATGGCTGCTGCAATCTTTACTCTTATAACATAGAATACCAACAGTATCCATTCTGTGTAAATGAATATATGGATGTGAATTCTTCCATGATCTAAGTAGTGAGAATGAGACAAACGCTTTATATGTATGATATGTACTATAACTTATCAGAGTGAAATGTGCGATGATTAGTTATCTATTGCTATTCTATTCAACAATAACAAAAAAAAAATATCAGTAACATGCGTATTATATGCTATCTATATCTATTTTGTTTTTTACTTTTTTTAATTATCTTGTTCTCCACGCCTTTCTTTCACACCTAGCCAATATGACAAAATTTAAGTATATCTAAGATAATCCTCCCTACACGTTACACACCAGATTACTGATTGCTCATAGAGCAGCAAAATTATGAAGTCATTGTAAGAAACACAAGTATATGAGTTTGAAATACGAATCAGTTAGTCTGTCCTGCCATTCAGCCTTTCAACATCTCAAGTGTGTTACGTGCCATAAGCAAACAAATTACAACCCAGCATCACTAAACTAGATGACCACAGTTATCTTGCAGTGCACTTCTGAACGTTGCTTCTTCGCAGAATCCTGAGTTGGAGTTCAATAGCTACATCTCCCTTCCTTGTCCTTCGGATACAACTATAACGCATGGCGTCCTATGCAACTTGACAATCTATTTATATTAACTTTTTCAGGAAACCTGCTTAAGCTTAGTATACCACAAATACCAATACAACCCATATATCTAACAAATTAGATTGAGTCCTTGAAGCAATAGAGAGTATGGCAATTCTCTACTACTAAAAAATATTAACATGTTTAATCTTCTAATTATGAAGTTCTACAAACGCTTTCGGTAACAATATCATATGTGAAGATGAAAAAACAAATTACAAAGAAAGTACACTCAAGCATTAATATACTGGTATCAGTGAAATGGCCTAATAGTATAATGTGCATTGGTATTTTACAGTATCTACATTAATTTTGCTCCAACTTTTAATTGCCAAGCTAATATCATGCAATAGATACATTAGTATATCTAGATAATATTTAATACAACGACAGAATGAATCAAGACAGCGAAGTGATGTATGTATTATTCTATCTATTCATTAGAAAAGGAGAGATTTAATCCCAGATTTCTCGTACTTTCTGCTAATTACTAACCATAGTCTAGCCTTAGGAGGGAAATGAATTAATTTTGTTAAAATATCAAAAGCAAACACAATCCATCCACTTCGTGTCCTCCACTAATCTCATATAGCCTTTAATTTTCTCGACGCCTTATATATTTCAGTTAAATCTAATGCTTGTCATAAATATCTTTGTAACATTATATATTTCTGAGTCTTTCACTCTCACACTCATCAATTCTAATACATCGAGTATATATGTATGCATATCTGTTTATCACTATATATAAAATCTATTTTCATAGTAATAAATATATCAACTTAGAGTATACATATTACCCCAAATAAAAGTACTCCCTATTAAAGCAATACAGGAAAAAAAAAAGTTTCTTCATTCTACAGCAGTGTGTATATTTGCTTCTGAACTTAACTTATAATCACTTGATCTCAGCACTAAATACTGAGTTGCAATACGTTTATATAACCTTTATTGGGGAAAGTTTGCGGCTCCAGCAAAATAAGAACTATGCTGACTTTCTATATGGTCCACCTCTATGCTTCACGGAGAAAGCTCAAAGCAAAAAACTTCAACTTCAAAATGTTTTACCAACAATTTAAAATTCAGTTATCAAAACAGATGGATTTCTCACCACACAATTTGACTTTAAATATAAATTCTGTTATAAGTTATCCGTTTGAACTGTATTAACTTTATTATAATATCTGTTTATAGTATTTATATACAATATATCCATAATAATAATATAATACCCATAAGAATTTTATGTTATATAAAAATATATAACGTATCTTGAGTTATAAAAATCTTAACTTAACAATATATACATATATATCTAAGTAATATGATTAAAGTTAGGGTTGACGTAAATAAATATATTAGTAAAACGGTATAGCTAGAGTGTGAAATAGATATATTTTATCCATGAATTGCTAAAGTCACTCATCCAAATATACATATTACACTATACTAACTTTACTATACCTCTGAATATTATGAAGTAAGAGTATACTATAATCTTATCAGGTACACTCAGCCCAATGTACTCAGCAGCACTCTCTAGTAAGCTATCTCAGTACAGACCAATCGTGAGTCATCTTAAGAGCCTATGAGTACTATAGACCTTTTGATAGAACTCTATCTTTCTATTAACTTTATGATACCGTGTATGCTCAGAGTTAAAGAATAAAGACAGTTAAAACAATTCATGAAAACAGATAGTCAAGTTGTATTAATTTTACTACTTCCCATGTTGTGAAAGTGAGAGACCATATGTTAGCATGGTAAATTCTCCATGTTATTAAATCTTGAACCATATCACTCTCATGCGTCCCATCCTAGACCTCATTGTATCACGAATACATAGGTAAGGCTGTTGCGGCTGGGAGAAAGAGGGGGAGTGCGGGCGCCAGCCAGTGTCAGTGCACGCCAAACTCATCTGCCCCGGCAGCCGTGCCTCCATCACAGAACGTGGGTGAAGAATCGGCTCCCAGCCAACCCCTCCGCATCATTTCCACACATGGACATGGCTCGAACGCGCCGAGAAATGACCCCACCCAACAATCCGGTCAGCACCTAACCGAGAGACACATCAGCGTCTCTATGAGCTCTCTACGATGCAGAACGACTGTCTGGAGATATATTAACTGTATCAGTAATGAACGGGTGATACCTGCAGTACAGCAGATACCTGTATCATTTTTCTCAAATCCAAATCTTTCTGGCAATCACATGCACGACCCCTATCGATTGACTGTAGCGTTTTCATTTTTGAGTACCATTTTGCTTCGCATCATTAGATAGCTATTAATCTTTTTAGACTTAGTTTGCAATTACAGAAGAAAAATACGAGACCTGAGAGGCAGAACTCTTTTTCGAATATTACAAGATACCTATGCTAATACACAGTTTGATCATAATCTAATCACCCCTTCATCTCTCATTTCTTCTAGTATCACACTTCAAAAACAAAGTGAGAGATCTGATCAGAATGTCTATCTAGGCACGCGACACGACCGCCATCAGTATAGGACCTATTACATCTGGTGGCTCATAGCCCGTCACCCTACATCACGCCCCAACCGCATCCGACCACTGTACCCCCCATTCTCACACAACGGATTGTCATACGCCCAAAAAAGCCATCCAAGCACTGCGCATTTTTCTACATTTGTCGATCACAGCCGGACACATTTTCATACAATTCGAACTCCACAGCTGACTAGAGAGGTCTGAGTGAGTACTGCTCTCCATCACTCTCATCCTTTAACAGGTAAGAACAACCTGATGAACATAATTCAGTAAGCTATCTTCCATCTTCTGCTATCATGTAACGGAATAAATACGTCTTGCAGTTCATGTGCTACATCTCTTGTAGATTTGTCGAAATATGAGCAAAATAAAACATAGTAATGAAATGGATCTCTGCTAAATCCATCACCAAGTGCATGTTTACACTACTCTTAACATTTATTTAATATTCTTTTTGTAAAGAATCCACATGTAGCCATATGCTCTACCTATCACTCGTTAATTATGTTTCGTGTGATATTACTGTCCCGTAAGGCGAGTGCGAGTGCTCAATATGTGTACTACTGCTAATATCTCATATAAGTTTGCAAATGTGAGTAGCATTCGCACCACTTACGAGAGATTTAATATCTTTCATGCCTCATCCAATAATCAAGCGATTTATTCACACAAATAGAGATGATGCAACCTTACTTGGCCCACGACCTAAGCATCGAAAAAGCAGCCATACACAACCATTACGAGGAGAATTGGGAATGGCAACTACTAAAAGAGTAGAATTTAGTTGTGTGCCATTTGTAATGCAATATTATTTTTTTATTTTGTATATTGACTAGGTCACCTGGCATAAGGCAGGTGAAGGTATGTTGTAGTGGCTCCCTTTAAATGTAAGTCAGCTAAACAGCTTTTAATGTGAATGGACATTCCTTTTATAACTTCTTAATTCAAGTTAAAGATCTTTGCCTTTGAACCTTTTTGTATTGTATTAGCAAGGTATATCTATTATGTACAGTGGACCTTTAGATATCTATCCATGATTTAGAGGGTCAGAAATGACTGAGTCAAGTAATCAGACTGAAAGTTGCTTGTGTCTTGTGTGACAATTAAAAAAAAAAAGATGATCATGCTTTGTGGTGTCTGCATGATATCAGTTGGAAGAGGTCCCACTGTATATGAGTAAAGGCCTGACAGCCAAGTGTTGTAGGTGCTGAGTTCTGGTGCAGCGCGGCACACTCGAGCCCACTGGTCGCCATCCATCAACTACAAAACCTGCCCTGCCTTCTTCCACGTTCTGGCACCAGAGGTGGGCGCCATCCCACGGTTCTTGTTCTCCAGCCAGCCCAAGGACCTACTGTTGCTACTGTTTTGCCTGGGCTTGGCATTACTCTGTCCTTTACATGCTTACCTTAACTTATAGACTTTTTACTGTTTTTATGTCAGTTTAGGGTTCAGCTGCTCAAGCTAGCCTCATGTCATTTGTGCAGGGTCTTAATGTGTTGTGCTGCATGGTGAGCCTCTGTTTCCACTAACCAAATTCAGAAGAGAAGTGTGATGTTTGAGACTTTGCAATCAGGCAAAATTCTTCCACTGCTAACCGTTTCCAATTTCCAACACTAACTTTACTCTTAG